CTGCACTAGATAATACTTTATTGGTGACTATTCTCCTCTGATAGCTGCCGAATGTTCCACAGGATTTGGTAAAAAGAAAAAACAAAACATATGGACAATGAAAGATCCATCTAGAATTGTTGCATTTACTGTACTGTCATAATCCGAAGATCAATAAGAATAAGAATATCTTCCAGTATGTTTTCACACTATTTCCATGTTCTGATGATTTTTACCAAGTCTACTGTACTGAAAGTCTGAGTCAAATAAATTCACAGATGTGTAATGAACATACCATCAAACTGAGTTGAGCTGATGCGTTGTGGGAAAATGCTTAGTCAGGGCTCAGCAGGGGCTCCCAGGCCGGAGTGGGTATAACGTAGGTCTCGTGCAGATGACAAGCGGATACATTTGAGGCCCATATCCTTGATTAGCTGGTCTGCAACCCCTTGGCTGGAAACTGTATCAATGCGGAAGAAGTGGCCAGAGAACATGCTGGGATTCTGGATGAAGTCAAGACTTGCTCAAAGTGGAAAAAGAATTGGACGGAAGGTTGAATACAGGATGTGGAAGAGGTGCCATAAGATGGCGGTGCAGATTCACTTTTTCACTGAGCTGTTGTTGTAATAAAAGAGAAAGTTTGTGGCCGATCCACCATGTGGGTCTGACGCCTCTACAGGAGTGGTTGTGATGGTAAAGGGCCTGTCATGTGACCCCCTCGTGATAGATATTGGGAAACGGCGTGTTGCCATCAGACTGGCCGTGTGGCCGAGCGATGGCGGGTGTTGCTCTGTGCACAAGAAGTGAGAACATGCAAATGCAAACGGCAGAGTAGTGTGAATAGATGTACAACAGGAAGGGGACTGATTGGAGTATGGTCCTGCTCCTGAACTTCAGCTAAAGAGTTTATCTCCATTAATTGAAAACAAGTGAAAAGACTGAACTATGGAGCAGTGAATTGTGATGTTAGACAGTCAGGCTGTTTTTCATTGTTTTTGTGTTCAGGATTTTTTGGGTGGGCCAGAAACATGGCTGCACATGAATTGATGGTGCATTGGAGCCAACTGCGCAGGGCTTTGTGACGTGACAAAAACTAGAGCACGGTTGCATTCGGGGTTCTCCGGCTCGTTTGCAAGTTATTGCTACATCCTACAGTTTGCCTGCCACTATGCCAGCAAATGCATCTGTCCTGGATGCCAGAATTTGTGGGATTCCCAGCTTCATGTATTTCCTAAGAAAGACAAGATAAGTAAGAGGTAGATTGATTTTGTGAAAAGCTACATTGAGGGCAATGTGACAGAAATGTGCTCTGGACAGATTAATCAAAACTTGAGCTGCTTGGCCACAGTAACTAGATATTTTTGGCGCAGATCAAAAAAAGCTTTTGAAGAGAAGAAACTCAGAACACCTGTGAAGCATGGTGATGGAAATGTCATTGTTTGGAGTTGCTTCACTGCCTCAGGAACTATGGAATTGTTTTAAATATGAATTTTGCATCATATCAAAGAGAGCTTGAAAATAATGTGCAGCCATCTGTCAGACAGTTGGAGCTGAACTCAAAGTAAGAATGGTGATCCCAAACACACTGCAAATCCACCAAGAAATGGCTCAATAAGAAGAAATTGAAGGTTATAAAAATGATGTAGTCCAAGCCCAGATTTAAATTAAACTAAAAATGCTATTGAGGGATTTAAAACAATTTTGCATTAAAGCATCACAAATGTCAGCAAGCCGATGTCAGAGACTGATAAAGAGTTGTGAAAAATGCCTACAGGAAGTTTTTTTCTGCTAAAAGGAGTAATCCTAGCTTCCCAGGTCACAAAATAATATGCATCTATTGAGATTTTTGTTGTGTAAATTATTTTTAAAAAAGCTAATTTTCCCTGTGTTGTATCAAGTATCTCACTTTATATGTTGGAACTGTTCCAAAGAGGCTTAGATATCTCAAAACAGGTCACAGTTTCCAGTTTTTCACTTTAGTTTGTATCGATCATTTAAACTCTTTTTGTCCAAACAACCAATGGAGTTCTTTTGCCGTCACTGGCTAAGAGAAGTAGAGACATATGGGTAAAGAAAGCAGGGTAACATCATGCTCCAAACTCGGTTTCTGTGTTTTTGCCCAAGTTCTATGTGCTCTGAATAGTCGTCTTTTGGGTCATTCCAATGCTGCACTCGTACCAATTGTCACAAGTCAAGTTACAAGTTTTACACAGCAGCAATAATTAAGTTCAAACCGCTAACAAGCTACTACTGACAACCTAAACAATCGTATAAGTGTGCTGTAAATCTATATAATCCACAAGCTGTGCACATAAGCAGAAATAAATCACAAGTTAGAATAAGTCATCTAAATTTAAGTAGTTTTCTTCTGATGCGAGTGGTTGCTTGAATGGTCAGTGGTTAACTTGGTAGTTAATATAGATATGAATATTACTCGATCACACTCTGCCAGCTTCTTGATGACCACCCAGTGACTAAGGCAGACCACCATCATTCTACAGCTTGCAGAGTTTCTTTGAAAGATCACCTTTGTTGCTAGCAGGCACAAAAAGCACCAGAGCTACTTTTGCCTCTTCTACGTTTATTGTTTGCATCAAACCAATCCACATCATTAAGACTATGCTGACCACCCACAAGATACTTCTGAATAAATCACTATAAAAATGGTTTCCATCCTGGACTTTCTCTAAATGACTGGTAATCACATTCAAAAGCATTGTTAGTTTTCTCACTGACAACCAGATTACACACTAGATGTGACGTTTTGTCTAGGTTACATACTCATTTCCTTTTTAAAAAACTGTCTATAGGTGTCTATCATCTTGACACGAACCACTTATTACATTGCTATACTCAAACATAATAAAAACTGAGGCTGGAAGTTAAGTGCTGCTGTATTGGCATTAATGAGATGTTCCAATTACACATGCAATTTAAGGATTATTTACGTTTCACATCTTGGTACCTTTTGTTATCTTTAGTGTGTGTGTATTATTATCCTAAGTCTTGCTTTTCACTCAGACAAGCCTGTCATGTCTTATGGAGAAAAGCTTACAGTGCTTAGAAAATCTATTAGAGAATAACTGAGGCTCTCAGCTTCTTCTCAAAATCCAAACATGTAGGAATATTTCTTTAACTTGTGATCTGTCCGTTGGAGATTCTCACACCATTACATGTGTTTCTTTTCTCACTGAGTGCTTCAATGGACGCCTGCCTGATCTGGGGAGGGAAAAGGTTGCCCTTTATGATCGACTCATTGATGCAGTCTTGCTGACATTTTGCTGCGTCACTGTGTCTTTCGTCGAGCTCCTCCTCTTCATCGGGATTGGCCATGTTGCTGTTGACATCTGAATCCAGATCATTGCATTTCACAGTAGGACGATCTGTGGAATACTCGATCTCTTCAACACATGGAGGCTCATCGTCTTCAAAACAACTACGTGAGAGAAGATAAGAAAGGAGTTAAGTGTTGCTCATCAAAACGCACTGTTTGTATCTTTGAGGTCTAACAAACATGGTGGAAATTAATCTCCTGAGACAACATTTTTACAAAAAAATAAAATTAAAAATTATTCACTGTTTGTACCAGTTTTCTTTTCCCTTGACCTGTGACAGTGGCTACCAACCAATCAGTGGAATAATGTAAAACTAGCACAAATCATATACCGTTGACACCTCCTCTACATCATAGGGTGCACTACGAAACAAGATTAATGGGTTGGGTCAGTATGTTGAGCCTAAAGGCAGAGTTTTCAATAGTCGAAGGTGGCTCTGTTTTAATCTGAATATATCACCATGATGAACTATGCTGCACAGCTGATCTGTTCCAAAGAAAATTCTGTCTGGATTTTCTGATTAAAATGGGCTGCATGTCATATTCTTTAGAAGGGATACAGATTCTCAGCTGAGATTAGATCCGCACACCTGTTGAGCTGTAGTCTCACTGAAAGAAGTTACAATAGAGCAAACTATATACATCACATTACAATAGGAACCTATAGGCATTCAGCTGATGATGCAAACAATGCACATGTTTTTATGCTTGGTCCTGATTGGCTGCCATGTTTGTTTTACAGTGCTGATACTGCTACGAGTAGAACGCAGACAACATTTATCACAGAGAATAACAACAGCACTGATTTCTGGCCAAAACCCAAAATAGGAGAGTGTCAAACCAAAATGCACAAAATGTATGTTTAAAATGTGTGAAAGTTTAACACATGTAACATGCAGCAGTCATGTTAGCAGTAATAGGAGTGCACAGAGTGACAAAATAAATATTTTCACTTAAGATAAGATAAGATAAACTTTATTGTCTGTCACAAGTGACAGAAATTCTTCTTTGACAGGCATAAAAACAAACACATTTAAAACAACATACAAGTATAGCCATAACTTATGCTATTAACTCTACCAGCATTACTTTTCTGGCATTATTTGTAGTAACAGTGCTTTTTACCGTAAACAAATTTTAACATCCTCAGAGTTCTCCATTTTAACAAACTGAACTGAAACTAAAACAGGCATCACCCCATTACCCGATTCTGTCCTGAAAGAGAGTTAAATGTTGCATTATATTATATTGTCGTAGAAGCGTACACCGTCCGAAGTAAAGAAAGTTTAATTTTAGTAAAGAAACAATTATTCCCACACCCCCATCCCCACTCTCACCCTAACCAGCCAAGGCAGATGGCTGCTTTCCTGAGCCTGGTTCTGTCAGAGGTTTTTCCCGTCCCACTGAGGTGTTTTTTTGGTTTCTTTCCACTCTTGCCAGCCACTTGCTCAGAGGTAAACCCAAGGCTTTGGGTTGTTGGGTTCTCTGTTTACAATCGGTAAGGTCTTCACCTTACTATGTTAAGCGCTATGTGATGACATATGTTGTGATCTGTGGTATATGAATAAAATTGAATTGAATTGAACTGAAAGAAACAAACTGCTGTGCCACACATTTCTTCTGATTTTATTTTAGTCTTTCCAAGAAGGCTGAGCCTTGATTCATAGTATCATAGTACACATCTTTTGTTTCTCCTGTTTGAGTTGTTTGGCTTGTATGTTTCTTTTTAAGTTTAAAAAATACAAAAATTTGATAAGTGAAAAAACCGAACATTTCACCTTTTCACAGTGGAAATTTTAACATGTCAAACCAGGAAACGCACAAGTATAATCGATTACATAATTGATATTCTATTTCCCATTTTGGTGAGCCAGGTCCAGAGTTTGGTATTGTACATACAGCGCCCTCCATAATTATTGGCACCCCTGGTTTAGATGTGTTAAAAGCCTTAAAATAAATTCAATTTTTATTGCAGAAGCATACTCTTACACTTAAAATTGTAGAAAAATGTAACCTTCAACTAAACTCAAATGAATTGTTGGCAAAAGGGGGTTGTAAAAGTATTAACATCAAGGGTGCTAATAATTGTGGCACACATGATTTGATGTAAAAGAATTATTTTTTAATGTGGGACTTTTTCACACTGAATAAATGCACTTGAATTAAAGGCTGAATTTTCCTCTTTTTTTCCATTGTGGTCCTGTATTATTTAGAAAAATAATTACTAGAAGGTAAAGAATACATCTTAACCAGGGGTGCCAATAATTATGGAGGGTGCTGTATGTGCTTCTTAGAATAAGTGATGGAACAGAGCCACTGCTAATGTTAGTAGTTCTGTGCGTCTCCCGCTGTGATGAGTTAAAGTGTTCACCGTGAAAAGGGTCCATTAAGAGTCTCTAATGCCTCTAATTGGCAGCTGAGCTGTGAGACTGATCATCTGCAGCTCCTGCATCATGATAAAAACAAACAAACAAAAACGTCTACGTACAAGACCAAGCAGTACGCTGTAGTAATCTATTTAGTTCAAGCAACTCACTTTAATTTGGACTTGGAATGCTAGTTCCTTATTGTACACTGTGTGTATTTACAGTATACAAGAGATGTAAGATCACCACTGTGTAATATCATCCAAATGTCAGATGGTTAAAATTGTATCATCTCACAGTAATTGCATTACTTCTAAGTTAAACAGTCGGGCATTTTCTCTTATTTAAAATAAAACCTAATAATTTAGATTTACTGGATTAAAAAAACAAAACAAAACAAAAAACAGCTCCACAGTAAGAATTCAGTGCAGTGACATTTTAAAAAAAAATGTCTGCCTGCCTTTATTTTCAATGACACACTTAATCTTCCTCAGTTCACAGTTTTCACTTTTTTCTTCTCTCAAAACTAATTTGGCAGTTTACTTTGGATAGTTTTCATACTGGAATATTCCTCTCCAGCCAAGATTCTGCAGACTGGGCGTCATCTTGTCAGCCAGCATTTAGATATATCCCAAGGAATTCATGGTGAATCTAAAAACACAATCTCCCAAACACATATCATCAAACTCCAACCTCAATTCTTGCCTGTCAGGACTATGCGTTCATTATGGAAGTCCTTACGAGGTTCATGTCAAATACGCTAGACCATGGGGCGCCGCTATAGCTCACCTGGTAGAGCTGGCGTCCCATGTGCAGGGCTACAGTCCCGATGTGGAGGTCATGGGTTCGAATCCCGCTCATGACCCTTTCACACATGTTCTTCTCCCCACTTTCCTGTCTCTCTCTCACTATCAAATAAAGGCACAAAGGCCAAAAAAATAACTTTAAAAAAAAATACGCTAGACCACACAGTTGAACACATTTATATTGATCTAACCTGACCAAAAAATAAACTCTCGATATTCATTAGGTTTCTTTTCAGTTTCTTTAGCTAAGTTTCATCTTACAGTTTTGCATATTTCTCACACTTAATTGTTCCACATCATCAAACTAATGTCTGTTACATTATTCTTTACACATTGAATTCAGCTGGATGTATTTGGTATCTTTCGACAATTTGGGATCTCTATTAGAATTTTACATATGGGTTGAAACAAAGACCTGTATGTTATTAGACATGTAATGAGACTAGGTTTCTGGGGAAAACCTGGTCTTATTAGGAGAGACAGCACACATCCCACTTTCGAAGATGTAGCTCTCATTTCTAGGAATATGGCCGAAAACACTAAACACATGGAGCTAACACATTGAGCGAAGAAACTAATTGGGAGGACACAAGACCTTAGTTACCAGCTGAACTAGCATAGAGAACTAAAGCTGACCAAGTACAAAAAGACCCGGAGAGCTGCAGGGGACACGCTAAAAGAACATAGACAAACTCTGGGCAAATGCTAGGAACTCAGCTGGCAGATCAGAGAGGGAAAGGGTGGAGTAGGAAAATCAGGTGACTTATTTGGAGTCTGGAGGTTTAGGTAGTAAAGCAACAGAAACAAT